GAGACAGAGACAGAGACAGAGACAGAGACAGAGAGAATTTAGATCTGCAGCTTTGAAAACTTAGGCCATCCTCAACACTTGGTAATTCCAGCATGTTTATTCAACAATACTGCATTGAAAATGTTTCAGGGAACAATTTGTCAGAAGCACATTTCTGCAACAGTGTAAAGGAAACAATGCAGGAATAGCTGCCAGCTGCTCTGTTTAACTAGGGCAATTACACCTGGCTGTGCTTACACAGCAATGATATGGAACAAGGAAATACCAAGTTGCTTTAATGCATTCAGCTATCCATGGGTAAAGCAGAAAAGTGAAGGTTAAGGGGAGAAAGGAAGAGAGAGAGTGTAAGTGAAAGCAAACTAATGTTAGCAATTTCCAGGAATTTTTTTTTTACCTGTGTAGTGACTTCACTGTTGATTGCTGGGCTGTGGTGTTACTATAAATACTAACAAGACACATTGGTTGCTATATTGAATCGCTCCAGATCTTGACTTCATCAGATACGGTACAGTCCTCTCATGCAATGTTATTACCTCTAATTATACATGAGGGATTGTTCATGAATTAAATTGTTCACTATATGTGTTCACTGTTCACTATATCTATATCAACTGTTCAGTGAAACTGCTCACTATATCAAGAATGGAAAAGGTGTGGCTGTGCAGATGTTGTGGAACTACAGTTCCCATCATGCCTCACCATCATCACCTACTGATGGGAGTTGCAATCCAACAATATCTGGAGGACCAGATGCTCCTTCAACCCTGCATTGCATAAAAGATGCATGAACACATTTACCACTTCAGAAAGGCTTTTCACTAAGCCTTTGTTTTTCATGGTTTAATTCCTAAAACAATGTTAATATATACGACACACCACAATAGATCAAGTGTTCTTGAAAAGCTGGAGATGAGATGAAGAACTAATTGGGTTCTGGGGTTATGAAACAGCCCAGTTCAGCTTCTGTTAAAATAAATTAGCGGGGGGAAATAGAAAGATAAATGGATGCATCAGGGAGATGGAGCAAATTGGCTCTTAAAAATCTACAGCAATGATCTTAACAATTTTTCAAGTGGGACCCACTTTCGGGGAGAAAAAAAACAAAACAATGTGAGAGTCCCACTAGCATACTATTAAAATTAACAAAGAATAATCAAATGGAAAACTCTGTTCAGTGTTTTGGACTTCAACTCCAATCATCCCCAGTCAGAAAGGCTAATGATCATGAATACTGGAGGGGGAGTCAGTCCAAATTTTTTGGATACTACTAGGTTGGGCAATACTGATTTAGGCTGCAATGCTTTGCACATTTCCCTGGGAGCAAATGTGCAGTGGAATGTACTTCTGATAAACATAAAGCGGATTGTCCTGTTATGCCACAGAGGGGTCAGGTGGGGAAGGGCAGACAGAAAGATTCACCAGAGACAAAGGAATTCTGATATCCCAGTTCCAAGGAAAGAGGCGAAAGCTGCATTGCTAGAAAGAGAATAAGGAAGGAGGTGCTGAAAGTGAAGGAGCCGCCACTGCCAGGCCCCTGCTGAGAAAGACTGCGTAGGAAGCTCTGTGTTTGTAGAAGTGGTGGTGAGAGAGAACCATTTTCAAGTCATCCTGGAGCTAGCCAGAATGTTGTGGGATGGGTTTGGGATCCAGGTGATTGGTAATTCATTATTATGTATTGTATTACTGTATTAATTTTTCTGATTGTTTTGCTTGTACTAATTTTGTATATTTATATTTGTACTTGTAGTTGCATTTACTTAACTATATTATTGTATTTATATTGATTTATTTTGTCTTGTTGTAAGCCACCCAGAGAGCCCTATGGGCTATAGGGAAGCATACAAATGAAGTATCATCATCATCCCTTCAATCTACCTCAGCTACAGAACAACTGTGTACCTCCCATGGTCCTTTCCCCTTCCTGAAGCACTAAGGTACCTTTTCCCTCCATCCACCCACTCCGGCTTTCCCGCCTTCCCCCACCTTCCCAGCTCCCATCCGCTGTGTCTCTCTGCACCCTCTTCTCCCTCCTTCCTGCTCCCTCCATTCGTCTCTCACTTTGCCGTGTGCCCACGGGTCAGTGTCACCTGGAAACAGCCCAGCACGCTGAAAGGGGAGATCGTGCCTCCCAGCTTGTTTGGTGTGCATCAGGGCTCTGAGGGGTCTTCTCCCTGCTCTTTCAAAGCATTTTCAGCAAGGGGAGCAGGGCCAGTCTCAGCAGCCACTCCCCTGCTTGAGCAGGGAGGGAAGGACTTCAGCAAGTATGGGGGCCCCAGTAACAACCAGAGCACCCTGTTTCTGCAAAGCGCTCTCACTGCGGGGGAGGAGCGGGAAGAGCAGGTGCCGCCACCTACACCTTCCTACACAGTCACAGCATCTGCCAGAAAGCGGGGAAGCCTGGCGTTTTGTTTCAGAGATATTAACAGCCTGTGGGCCCTGCAATTCTCAAGATACCTACTGTATCTATCATCCCACTTATACAGAAAAGGTGTTCTGTCTTTTTTGGCCATATTAAGTAATTAAACATTTGATTGTTTTGTGATGGGACTTGGTTTCAAGCAAAAAAAGAAAGAAAGAAAAGACAGACAGACAGACAGACAGACAGACAAAAGATTAAAGGAAATGGGACAGGGCAGTGCTTGAAAAGACATGAGATGTGGTCCAGAGTATTTGTAGGAAGCAAAAATGTGTTTCTCCTTCATGAGTTATAAACTGTCATGTAAGATGACCCAGAAGTCAAGTTTCAAACGGAAACAAGGGCGACAGGTCACTGGATGCAAAGCTGGGTACAACACTTCTCCATATGAAGATCCGTAGCAGATAATACAAAACTGTCAAGTCTGCTTGCACTCTCAGCCTACTTTAAATATTACTGGTGATGGAGATTTGCAGTTCTGACGGAATTCATGGCAGCATCCTGGCTGCTTAGAGTACGGGTAGCTGAAGGGTTAAGAAGCTCTTAGGAAGCCTTCCTCAACCTGGTGCCCTCCAGACGTATTGGACGACGATTCTCAGCATCCTTCAGTCAGCCCTGCCGGTAGTTAAAGTCCAACCCATCTGGAGAGCACCAAGTCAGGGAAGACAACTGTTAGGAAAAGAGAGTGGAAGTGACTGCTGAGGGATGTAGGGGGAATCTAGTCTAGACATTTTCACTGGCATTGTAATGCCTGACCCATCGCCATGTCACATGATGTTCACCCCAAACCATCCTCCTCGTGCTAGTTCTGCCCTTATATGCCACATTTCAGTTATTATATTTAATATGTTGTGGAGGTTTTTCAAGGTGCTGAATTGTTCTGAGAAAAACCTTCAGCCTGCTGTCAACAAGTACCCTGAGATCCCTTTTACAAGTGCTGCTCTCCATCCACTTGTCCCCCATCCTGTACCTGTGACACCCATTCCTGTGTCCCGAGTGAAAGACCTTGCACTTATCCACATTGAGTGCCATCCTGTTGTCCCCCACCCACTTCCACAGCATGTCCAGATCCTTCTAGATCTGGATCACCTGCTCCTCAGTTGTGACCGCTGCCCCCACTTTGGTATCATCTGCAAATTTAGTCAGCAGACTGGTTGTTTCTGTATTATCCTTCCCTTCTCACCCACTCAGAATCTCATCACTGCCTTGAAACTGTGTACGTGACCCACAACTTATAAAAATGAGCAGATGTTATCAACTGTTTCAGCAGGGTGATCTGCTTGAACCCAACAGCAAAACATGGCAAATATATATGGAAAGCTATTTTACCCATTTGCTGGGGGGGGGGGATCAATTTCTTTAGTCTTTCCTAAGCCCTAGATATTTGCAGAAAAATTAGTAGCAAGCTGGACTCTTACCTCATCTTGGATAAATTGAATTTGACATGCAAGTTGTCCAACATTTCACATTTCTCTGAGGATGAAGCAGATCTGGACAGGCTGGTCATTTCACTTCCCTGGTGAGACCTTTGCTCAAATTCAGCAGAGCTGTTTTCCCAGGAATCATCATCTGTGGTGAAATCTGCATTATGGACAGCTATGCATTTTAACCTGTTAAAAATGGACAAATATCAATGCATACCACATTCTGCTATCCTAAGTTTTTCCCACTGGTAGAATATATAGCCTGGGGCCTCTAGCAAAAGCAAACGAAAAGGGTGCCAACCTTTTGAGAAGCTGTGCAGTGGTAAGGAACTCAGAGGAATACTGTTCTTGGACTTGTTCCAGAACAGGAGCAATGATACCATCTGCCCAATGGCCAGGGCAACTGGGCAAGGAATTGAGATGACAATGAGGTTTTCAAGTTTTATTATAGATTGTGCCAGATTAGCATGCAGGGAGTCAGAAGACAAAGAAAATAATCAAGCAGAGCCTGGATACTTCTTTCCATTTCTTTGACAGAGTTTCTCCATCAAGTTAATGAAGACCTTTTCACAAAATTAAAGCTCAGCATGTTTTATAAGTTGAACTTCTGCCATCAGAAGCAAGCACCACTGAATCCAATGGCGCTTACTCCCCTGCTAATTAAGTTTGCATTGGACAGTAAAGCTTAATTGTGAGATTTTACTAGTGGAAGTGGGCAACATCTGGCTAATGAAAATAAATCCTCTCCATTCTATTCAGCAGTGGCAAGCAACCTGTGGCCCTTCAGAAAGCCTGAATCTCCCATCAGCCCTACCAGCATAGCCAGTTGTGAGAGGTCATGGGAGTTGTAGGCCAAAATATCTGAATAGCCACAAGTTGCTCACTCCTGCTGTACTGCATGGCTGTGGGAAGGGGGACTGTCCGTCTTAATCACAATGGGACAAATGACCTGGAAGCATCTAAAGGCAGCCTTCAGGTAAATGACTTTAGCATTTCTTCAAGGCACCAGGAAGTTGATTTCTTGTTAAGTTCTTTTTCATGGGTAGGTTGCTGTAAATTGATGACCTGCAACAGCAGGGGATTGGATCCTATGGCCTTCTTGGCCCTGAAGAATATAAAGTTTTCTTGATGACCAAACAACAAGGATCAGTTGCATAGCGTTCTGCCAGAGAGGCACAAAAGTCTTGAAAATATACAATAAACCTCTGTCAGGAAGGTGAGAATTTGTATAAATAAGTCTGGAAGCAAATGTTTTGACACCAAAGGTCCTCAAAAGACTTGTAGTTCATGATACCCATGCACAAAAGTAGCCATGTACAAAGGAACTGAATGTTTTCTGCTATGATGTTTCCTGTAACTGATAATTGTGAAGTGCTAATGTATAAATTCACAATGTACGATGACTGTGGCAGCTGGTCTTGACTGGAGGTGGGCTCAATTTCTATTGTTAGTGTGCACCTACAATAAAGAGACTTTTTAACATTTAAATTACTTGCTGATGTTTTCTGTCTTTGTCACCCTCAGACAAGGAACAAGGGGGACTTCTTTTTGTCCCCAACACCACCGTCCAACTCTAGTATTCCATGATTTCATTAGATGATTAGGAGAAAGGCAAAAATCAGTTCAAGATGAGGAACCTTAAGCCACATGCAGACAGTAGCTATTTTTAAACAAACACATAAATATCCTTTTCAGAGCACCACTCAACTGGAGAGGAAGTGAAATGCCACAGTGAAGGAAAGACCAGATCCAAAAGTCCTGCCATCGTAGTTCCTACTGATCCTAATGGGAGGAGAAAAACACATGGCAGCTCTAGGCCTGGATTTTTAAAATAAAGCCCAGGGGGCGCTCTGTGGGAAAAGGAGTCCTTTGGATATGATCCATCCTTGGCACTGTCTTGATCTGCCCCTGACATGCCAGCAGAATGCATTCCTTTTGTTGTTATCACGGTCACGGCAGGGTGGAAAAGGCTTCCATGCCCCATAAGGAGAATTCTCAGGATGAACCTTTTTCTCCACAGGCTCAGAGAGAGGTCTATTAAATGATATGGTTCCATTGATAAGATAGCAATGTCAACAGATGTTCTGACAGGGTTCTTTCAAAGTGTACAGCCTCCACATTAATAATGTTCAAACCCACTTCCATTAGATAAGACTGCCTACCCAACCTCATTGCCTTCAGATATTTTGGACTACAAATTCCACAATTCCTGAACATTTCCCATGCTGGCTGAAGCTGATGGGATGAAGTTCAAAACATCTGGAGGGCTTGAGAAAAGCTGCAGGAGAATGTCAGGGAGCCTTAGATATTAATATCAAATGTGGGTCTTAACAGGAAACAAAGTATCTCCTACCCATTTTCTTCAGTGGGAGCTTTCAGTAGAGGCGTCCTCTCTGTCAAACAGCTTTCTTTTGATCTTGCACTGAAGAATTTGGGCAAAGTGAAATGGTACCTTTAAAACATTGAAAGAAAGAATTATTTTCCACTGCTGCATATAGGACTGTTGTTGCTCTTCTTGAAGTGAAAATTTATTAATGAATTATTTACCGGATTTAGCAAATGAGCTAATTAGATACTCAATTTAGCAAATGAATCCACCTAAGTGCATGTTTTACAGCTGGCAAGCAAAATTACCTCCATTCATCACTTCTGACCTCCTCCTGATTTTATGATCTCAAGTGCTCTTGGCCTGCTCATTCACCAGACCATACCTGTCCCAAATGAGATAAGGCCCAAGGTGATAGAGAGGCTGGTGATCTGGGAACTGAACAACAAGAACAAACTTCTAAATATTTGGACCCTACTAATATGCTAACTATACAGAGCATGGCTCATTACTGGACTTAACTGAATTGTTGTTCTACCCTGAACTAATTGTTCCTGAAAGCACATACAGCCTGTGGATAAAGTGTCCAAAAAATCCACTCATAGATGCACTAAAGGCTATAATTTCCTTTGCTCAGCTTCAGCTGGTGTTCCAGCTTCCTGGAAAAGGCAAATCTGTCTATAGTTAACTGACTGCAGGTCTTGGTCAGAGCCTGATTAGATTGTCACAATGCAATCAACAGGGGCTAGAGATGTTGGTGAAAGCCTTAAAAGCAGGGCTGAATGCTAAAAAAAAAAGTGTGGGGGGGGGGGGAATCAGGGCTTAGGACCAACAGGACAAAACACAGCACACATTTGCATAAGCTGATTTACATGTGCAAATCTGTACATAGTTTAAAATTATTGCTATAACTTTTATAGAAGACATGTTTGCTTTTCAAATACCTTGGTCACCTAATGAGAAGGAACAACTCACTAGAGAAGACCCTGATGCTGGGACTGTTCGACGGGCAAAAGGAGAAGGGGACAGCAGAGGATGAGGTGGGTGGGTGGAGTCACTGGGGCAGTGGGTGTGGGTTTGCGTGGACTCCGGGGGATGGTGGAGGACAGGAAGGCCTGGAGGAATGTTGTCCATGGGGACGTGATGGGTCGGGTACAACTTGGCAAATAAACAAACAAAAAAATGTTTGCTTTCAGCAGGGAATTGTGCAAAGCCCCAAACTGTGCTGCCTTCAAACTTACCCTCTATGCACCCAATTTTTCCTTGGTCTTTCAGGCCCAAATCCAGATGGGGAGGATGGAGTGCTTGGAACCAGCAAAAAAGCTGTATGTCACTTTAAACATTTACTGATTGATTGCAAACTGGGCATGGCACACTGATTGTGAGGATGTGTTGTAGGTTACAATAACCCATGCTCTTAGAGTGCAAACGCAAACAGTTACTGAGCAGCAAACTTGGTTAAACAAAGTGGTATTTTCTTCTGAGTAAATTCTTACTTGCTTTTCCCCTCACCATCCCCAACAGCACCTGAGGAAAGCTTGGAGCTTTTTTGCCATGCCTAAACTCTGGGAAGGAGGCAGAGATAGAGGGCTGCCCCCACCGTATAGCCCACATACCAGCCCACATACCAGTAGTCCTAGACAAAGGGGACAGTGCCTGAGATCAGAGATCTTTGCTTTGCTGTTCTTAGTCCCCAGACCAGGTGAAGAGACAGACAAAGCACCACAAAAGGTGCCTCCTCATTATTATCCAGAGTATTAATGCTAGTAAGATTCTGGAATTCAGAACACATTTTTTAGAGTTGTTAGTTTCTAACTTTTATATCATAAAAACTACACCAAATGTTGCAGCATTTAATCTCTAGCAACCTTCTCACTACTTGTGCAGCGTTGCAAGAATAAGGATCAGCAAAGGAGAAAGGGCAGCATCTTTTGATAAAGGGGCAGCCAGGAGACTTTTGGGAACTGGAAGGGGGAGGATCTAGAGCATCAACGTGTTCTGCTTTGTATCTAGCAGCACAATCCTATACAAAGTGTATCCTATTGTGTTTTTGGTGACACTTCTTCCCAGATATTGTGTACAGAATTGAACACTTCATTAATTTATGTGCTAAACTGACCTGGCTGCAACAATGAAGGCCAATAAACTGAAGCTCTGCTCAAACAAGACTGAGATGCTGTTGGTGGGTGGTTCCTCAACCTCTCAAGTTGGATGGAGAGTGCTCAACCTCTTCTGACAGGGTTGCCTTTCCTTTGAAGAAGCAGGTTAGTAGCTTGATCTATCTTCATCACTGAAGGCCCACCTGGCCTCAGTGGCATAGAGAGCCTTCCACCAGCTTCAACTGGTGGCCCAGCTCTGCCCCTATCTGGAAAGGGATAGTCTAGCTTCAGTCATGTATGCTCTGGTAATCTCTAAACTATTACCACCATATACTATACATCTGATCACCTTTGAGGACAGTTTGGAAGCTGTAGCTTGGACAAAATGTGGCAGTCGGACAGATAACAGGTCCCAGGCAGTTCTGGCCTGCTTGGGTTGGCTATATGTGTCTAAGCCTGATTCAAGGTTCTGGTTTTAACCTATAAAACCCTATTTGGTATGGGACCACATTACATGACAGAACTGCTCTTCTAACCACCATCTACCTGGACACTGCACTCATCACCTGAGGCTTTCCTCTGAATGCCGCCTTCAAAAGAGGTTTGGCTGGTAGCATCAGCGGGAACCTTCTCTGAAGTAGCTCCCAAATTATACAATGATCTCTCCACCAAGGCTCACCTAGTGCAAACTTTACTAATTTTTTGGTACCAGGTTACGATCACCTCTTTGCCAAGGGATTTATTTCAAATAGTACATGGGGATAGGGAGTATTGCCTGCTGATCTTATCAAGCCTAGAAATGTGGACTTTAGGGGTTTGGTTGTTAAAATGTGAGTTTACATTGTAAAAGTAATTTCATGATGTTTTCTTGTTGCTTTCTATTATATTTCATTGTATTTAACTGTAGTTCATCATCCAGATAGCTCTGGCTATCAGGTGGCAAAGACATAGGATAAAGAAGTAAGGCTGCAGTCCTATACGCACTTGAACTCTGCATTCAATTTCAGTCAAAGCTCATCACTGGAATTTGTTTTTAATACCAGAGCAGGTACCTAGTGAAGCACATTTATTCAAGTTAAGCATCACTGCCCTTCTCCCTTAGATAGCAATCAAGGTGTCAGCTGCTTAGCTTGAAGGATAAAGAGATAAATGCAGGTGTTCATTGCCCTCAGCAAGTCATAGAAGGAAAATAATCCTGGGGCATAGTCCTGTGCAGGCTTAGTTTGGTTTTTTCCTAAATGAAATCTGCTTCTGCTGGCAGATTGGTCTTTCATTAAAACTGGGGCTTAGAGCTATAATTTAGATTTTAAAGTGCAGAGGAGTACCTTGAAATCCCAACCACTTGGCTCCAGGCAGCAGTTTTAGTGAGAGACTGGTGGAGGAGAACAAGCAGAGGGACAGCCAGGAGAATTGGAAACCTTCCTTCTCCTAGACTTTGGGAAGCACAGGGACCACTCCAGTGGGTGAACAGGAGAAGACAGGTTCCCTCAGGTCACCCATAACCTGGGAGCCACCCTTCTGCCCTTGCTTGAAAGGATCTGCGATATACCTGTAATAAATGAGGAGAGGGAGAAAAACAGCTAAGAAGGGCAGTGTGAAATCTATTCCAAATGCTTTCTAGACTGGTTCTGGAAATTTTCAAGTCCAATAGATAGTTTGTGCATTTAAAAAATAAATTGGGGACACAATCCTATGGGGATGCCTATTACCCTCTGAATTCAGGACATTCTAGGGAAGGTGGAAGTTTGCTTCCCTGTTCCTCTTACTCTTCAAAGCATTTGGAGTGCTGATTTTGGCCATCTAAGCATGACACTTTAACATAAAAAGCAAAGGGGTGCTACCAGGATGTATTTTTATAGAGCCAGCTTCCTCCCTTTCCTGCCACCAAGAATGCCCCCAAAAGGAGGTCACTGAGGTCCTTTTTATGGCCTTGAAGAAATAGTGCAATTATTTCAGCTGAGTAAGAAACTGAGGAGGAGTTCTGGGCCAAGGTCATCTGCTAAGTTTTATGACTGAGCAAGGTTTGAACCTACATCCCTTCCAACTTAATTGGATACACTAATCACTGTACCACTTTTATTCTTTTCTAGTTTTTAAGCTGAGCCTACATTATTATATCCATACATTATCATTCATTCATCATGAATACTTTGCTTTGCAGCTGAAGAACACAGCTATTTCATGGCTTTATCTCCACATCTTCACCTTTTGTCCCATTGAATCACATTTTGTGAAGTACATACATTCAATAGTGTTTTGGAAAAGAAAAAGAAAAGACAATTCTAGAAGGTGGAAATCTTGGAATAGCAATAACAGGAATTAAAAATGAGTGCATGCTAAGGGTTGATTTGTCCTTTGAATTTTAAAAGTAGCTATTGGACTCACTTAGGGTAGAGAGCTAGTTAATATCTTCAAATGCACCTGAACATCTTGGGTACAAATATTTATTTATTTTATTTATTTAGAAAATTCCTATGCCGCCCCATTCGCCGAAGCCTCGGGGCAACTCACAAAGATATCAATTAAAATATAATACAATAAAATATAAAACAAGTTAACAATATAAAATAAAATAAGTCACCCTGGCTGAAGAATAAAATAAATAAATAGTATTAACAGTTAAAATGACGTTTGAATAAAAAGGTCTTCGCCTGGTGCCGAAAAACAAATAACGACAACGCCAGGCGGACCTCTCTGGGGAGCGCATTCCATAGATTGGGCGCCACTGCAGAGAAAGCCCTCCTCCGAGTACCTACCCTCCTAATTTCCTTCACGGAGGGTTCCCGCAGAAGGGCCTCTCCCGCAGATCTCAGGGGGCAGGTGGGCATATATGGACGTAAGCGTTCCTTCAGGTAGCCAGGACCCAAGCCATTTAGGGCCTTATAGGTCATCACCAACACCTTGAATTGGGCCCGGACTTCAATATGAGTCAAAAGGCATTCTATTAGATTTGTGTTGAGTTTTACATTTTTAGCAGTTCTGTGGCATTTTAGTTTTTTTGATTGTTTGTAATTTGCTCAGAAAACA